TTTCGATAGTACGCACTATGGCCCAAACGGCTTGACTGATTTTAGCAAATGACGTGTCGTTACACGTTCACATTCGTGAAAACCGTTCGAGTCACATAGGCTATTTCATTTTCATGAGAAATCAACAAAATCAACTTTATATTGAAAAAAGTTTAGACATTTATTGATGTATTAAGTCTATCTAATTAGCCTTCTTCGGTCCATCTTTGGACAAAGCCTCCCCAATCCTTTTCCATTATTGTCTGTCTGTCGCTACAGTCATCCACCTAGAGCCCACGTGCTTCTTGATATCATCTGCCCATCTCATTTTTACCTTCCTCTGCTTCGTTTATATTCCCACGGTCTCCAACTTATAAGAATTTTGTTCCATCGGTCTTCTTTTTCTCTTATATTGTGTCCGGCAAATCTCCATTTCAATTTTGCAACTTCTTGTCTAACATCCCTCACTTTTGTTTTCTCTCTTATCCACTCGTTTCTCTTTTTATCCATTAGTCTTATGTGCAACATTTGTCTTTCCATTGCTCTTTGGGTTTTTATGATTTTGTATATGTTTGCTTTTGTAAATGTCCATGATCTGTGAAAATCTTTTGTTTTTAAGAATATAGCTTAGTTTGCCAAATGCCGCCCATGCGAGTCTAACTCGTCTTTTTATCTCTGCATATATTTTCATCTTTCATAACAAATAACATCTTAATTATAAGTAAATAAAATTCGCTTATAAGATAAAGACGATGCTGATTTGCATTTCCTTGATCTTGAAAACTGACTGGTTTCCCTAGGACAAACACTTAACAGTGGCGAGAATCTTCAAAGACTCTTCCACTATATACTGGTATACGTCAGTTATGAATCTTCTTTTCACTTATTATCAACATTCATCTCTTCCAAAAAACTTTTAACATTGGCAAAGATTTTAGTTACAATTTAAAATATAATATGTATAATGTCCGGTTTATAGCGACCTGCGCATTTCGGTTCCCAGTCTCCGTTCAGGTCTATCAACCAAGCCTGGTCATAGATCTCCCTCTGACATTGCCTTTTTTACTCCATGAACAAAATCACGTATTACAGTCAACAATATGAACTCAATATAAACGTTAAGCTTATGATAATTAGCAAAAAATGGATAACAGAAGGTCAACTTTACATCAACCAATCCCCTGTAGAAAGAGTGACGCACTACAACTACTTCGGCACCATAATAAATAAAGAATGGACCACAACCAGGAGATTAGAGCACGCATCGGAAAAGCTAGATCCACCTTCAATCGGATGGGGGCCTTCTTCAAGAGTTACAACCTCTCTCTTGATACAAAAGTAAGAATGCTGCGTTGCTACGTCTTCTTTGTCCTTTTTTATGGTGTTGAATCGTGGACCTTGAACAAAGATATGTGTAGAAAACTGGAAGCATTTGAGTTGTGGCTATATCGGAGAATATTTAAGATCCCGTGGACTGACCGAGCCACAAATGAGGAGGTCCTCAGAAGAATGAATAAGAACCGAGAGGTATTGACCACCATTAAATCTTGAAAATTACAATTTTTCGGACATATGCGAAGTGAATCCAAATATGCTCTCCTTCAAGCCATCCTGCAAGGAAAAATATTTGAAAAACGAGGTCCAGGAAGAACACCTTGGTTAAAGCACCTCAGAATCTGGTTCAATACAACATATGTGCAGCTTTTCTGCACTACTGCAAATAAGATAAAGATTTTTTATTTTATTTATTTATTAACGGGATACCACCCAATTTAATATATACACAAAGTATTACAAGTATTATCTAGTGATACAATAATTATAAAGATATAGTAAATATGTATGAAAAGAATTGGCGATGCAGCTATATAGAAAAAAAAAACAAGTATTAAAATTATATAAAGCACATAGCAAATATAAATCACATAAAATTACAAAAAAAAATTTAAACACATTCTACAGACATTTTCCGAAGCGCACAGCAATAAATCAAAATCTATTCTATTTCCATTTAGAATGATTCTACTCAGTGGAGAATGCCTACAAAGTTAGAGCGATGAAATTTAATTGCAAAATTATGAGATGTTCTAGTAACTCTAGAGGGAAGATTAAAGTCAATTAGAGACAGTAGATCATCGCAATTAATTTTTGAATTCAGTAGTTTATGAAGAAACAAAACATTAGCATACATCCGTCTGGAAGATAGCCTAGGAAGGTTTAATGTATTTCTAAGTTCTGAGTAGGAATGGTCGCTTAAAGGTTTGTGTAATTTAAAACTTAAGTACCTAATGAATTTATTTTGGACTTTTTCAAGCTTGGCTATATGGACTTCATAAGTGGGTGACCAAACGACTGAGCAATACTTAAGAATAGATCTAACTAGGGAATTGTAAATCAGTCTGGTGCAATTAATGTTATGCAAACATCTAGAGGTTCTAATAATGAAGCCTAACATGTTAAATGCCTGGTTATTCACATAATCAAAATGAGCGTAAAAATTTAGTTTGGAATCTAATTGAACACCTAGATCTCTTACAGTTGAGACAGCCTTCAGTGGTTCTTCAGCTAATTTGTAATTATAAGAGAGGTTGTTAATTCTTCTACAGAAACTAATAAAGTGACATTTTCCAACATTAATGCTCATTTGGTTCCAATTGCACCATGCCATAATTTTGTTAATATCAATTTGGAGTTTTTCACAATCTGAGACGTCTTCGATAATTCTATAGATTTTTAAATCATCAGCAAATAGCAAAAATTTAGAGTTAATTTGAGATTTAATGTCATTAACAAATATATTAAAAAGGAAAGGCCCTAAGTGGCTTCCTTGTGGAACACCAGATGTTACGGAGATCTCACTAGATTGAAAGTATTTAATTTTAACAAGTTGTATTCTGCTAGTTAGGTAACTACATAACCAGTTATACAGATTGCCTGTAAATCCAATAGTTTTAAGCTTGTTACACAACAATTTATGATTCACAGTGTCAAATGCTTTGGAGAAATCTGTATAAATAGAATCCACCTGTAGTCTCCTTTCCAAAGCATCAGATATGTATTGCGTGAAAAGTAAAAGATTTGTCGAAGTTGATCCACCTGAAAGAAAACCATGCTGCTCTTCAATTAGTACATTGCATAAAGGTGTTTTAATAGAGTCACATATTATACTCTCTAGTATTTTAGGAATAGAAGAAAGAATGCTTATTGGTCTGTAGTTAGCTATGTTACTCCTGTCACCTGATTTATAATATATAGTTTATAATAAAACTAGATTTCCACAAACTTGGACAAATACCTGAATCAAGTGAATGAGAAAACAGAAAATATAAGGGATGGGTTAAAGTACATCTACATTTTTTTAATAGTATGGGTGGAATTCCATCTGGCCCAGAGCCCTTATAAATGTCTAAATTGGCTAATTTTTCAAATATGATTTCAATAGATACATTACAAGAATTTAGACTCGCTGTTTTCTCATATTCTAAGATGGGGTGTATTAAATCATCATCATTTGCTTTGTAAATATTTTGAAAGTATTGTGCAAAGCTATTAACAATATCCGCACCATTATTAAGCATTGTGTTTCCAAAAAACATTGTGTTTGGTAGACCATTATTTTTGCGTTTGCTGTTAACAAAATTCCAAAAGTGCTTTACGTTTGAACTAATTCTAGATTCAGTTTGACTTATATAAATTTCATGACATGACCTGCTTAGTTCTTTGCATTTGGTTCTCAAGGAAGAGAAAAGTAGATAATCGTCCCAAGAATTTGTTTATTTATATATCTTATGAGCAATTTTTTTCCTAAATATTAATGATTTCAGGTCATTAGTCATCCAACGAGGAAATTTGGGATTTTTTAATCTTGTATGTGGTATTGAACAATTGACACCAAACTGCAATATGGAGTAGAACAGTTCCGTGGCTTCGTTAATATCTCTGCAAATACCTAAAAGATTGCCATGATGATCGCCAACATTCGTAACGGATAGGCACATCAAGAAGAAGCCATGTTGTTATTGGTATTCCTCGTTTTTTTTCGCTCAGGTGGCTACCGTTCCAATATTATCTTCGCTAAGCGACGGCCTGTCATTCTTTGTACATGTCCGTAACAAATAAGCTATTTTTCTGCACCAAAAATCCATTTCCAGAACAAGGAGTTTTTGTTCTGTTCTCTTAGTGAGCTGTTAGGTTTCTTATCCAACGCTTTTAAAATATAATAATCAGACTGAATTAACGTGGTTTTGCGATGCCCTCTTTATAATAAACTAAAATGCTGGATTTGCTGTTCCAGTACGTAGTAATTAGTGTTGGAATGTTCGATGCCGACGATATCGGTAGCTTCTTATGGAATTGGCGTCTTGTAACTCCCGTTACCCGTTTTGTATTTTATCAATGTCGCTATGAAAGGCACATTATTATGGTGATGTGGTAAAATTGTTGTTCATCAAATCTTAGTAGCTATCTAATGTTAACACTTTGTAAAAAATTTAAAAAATTGTAATTTTAAAAAGTTTATTACAGCTTATGTCCCTCTAACTTTCAAAAAAGACTTTGAAATAATTAAAACAAAATCAGCAAACATTATTTTATTTACTAAAAAAATATGTACACTGCAATAAACCATAAATATATATATGGAAGAGTTGCGAACATTTAAGAAAGTAAATCATTTTCAACCAATTAATAATTTCAGTTCTTATTTTACCTTATTGTTATTTGAAAATGTAGCAAATCTCTTAATATACATATGACTAAATTAATTTTGTCTAGTTTAAAATGCTAACGAAAATGAATAATGTGTATTTGTACTTTTTAATTGTGAAATAGAAAATATGAGAAAGAAAATTCAGATCGAGTGAATAAAGAATGCCAAAGGACCTACGTAAATAATGGGTAACCAATTAAAAAAATTAAGTATCATTGATTATACAGATAAAGAACTGCTAAGAACTATAAAGCCGCAAAAAAAAGAGCTAAAGCAAACATACAGGTATGTATATCAAAGAAAAAGGTCCAAATTACTTCGAAGTGAGTCTGCAAATTTACTGAGCTATCAAGCCAACATTATCTCTTACGATGGATAGAAATGTGGATGACAAGAGAGGAGTATGGCGAAAAAATGTGCTTGTCTAAAAAATTTAAGAAATGAATATGAGTAGAACAGCACTAAATAGGGAACAGAACAACTATTTGTTTGAACTAATAAAAAAGGATAATGAATAAATAAATAACCATATAATACTACGTCCCAGTTGTCGTAGTATATAATAGTACCCATGCTTCCTGCTGAATTTCTCGAGAGAATAAATCTACTAAACCGGGATCCTTTACAATACTTAATGAAATCTTAAAACATCTACACAACAATTATTCATAGCTACCTGATTGCATATAAAAAATATATTACACGTTATCTATTAAAGGTACGTATATATAGAAGTATTGGCTACACTTCCATTAAAAACTTAAAAACGATATAAAAAACACGCAGTATAAAGATAGCTGTTCATTTTACTTTTTTAACGGATCATCAGGGGATATATGTTTATCTTTAAGTACTTTTCTATCTTCTTCATCGCTACAATATTCTGCTAAATCATCGTCAGGAGCTGCTGTTATGACAGCTTGACTAGTATTTGACGGCAGTGTCCGTTTTTTTGGTATTTCTTGAGATTTTGTAATAGTAGAGTATATACTCATTGCCTGAAATTATAAAATAATCAATGCTAAGACTACAATCAACAATGAGTTATGACATTAGCCAACACAAACAGTTAATATGTACTTGCAGGAATATTTACATCTAATTTTCGTCCAAGTTGCCCACAAGTCATACAAATTTCAACCTTTTAATCTTATCGACATGGCCTGTAGAGAAGAGGACCTGAGAAATTGCTCCATTCCGTATAACGGTGGTTGATATATAATATATCTATCTATATATAAAAGAGTAAAGCACCTTATAATAGACTTCCAACCTCTCAACGAAAGATTATGCACACTAAGAATCAGATGTAAATTCTTTAAATATTCAATAATAAATGCTCATGCACCAACTGAGGAGAAGCCGGATGAAGAAAAAGAACAATTTTATGAACAACTGGAAAATATCATACAACATTGTCCTAGAAATGACGTAAAGGTCTTAATGGGAGATTTTAATGCAAAGATAGGTAAGGAGAGGGAATGCATGCCAACCATTGGAATTCACAGTTTACATGAAGAGTCAAACAACAACGGAACTCAACTAATACACTTAGCCTCCTCAATGAACATGGTGACTGCCAGCACATGCTTCAGGCACAAAGACATACATAAGGAAACATGGAGAAGTCCAGATGGGAATACAGTAAATCAAATCGACCATGTGGTGGTTGACGCAAGACACTTTAGCGACGTGATAGACGTACGTGCAAGACGCGGGGCGAACACAGACTCGGCCCATTACCTGCTACAAGCTAAACTAAGAGCTAGAATCTCCAATGCAAAGAAAGAAAAAGGAGTTAAAGAGGAAAGGTTTAAAGTAGAAGCTTTGAAGAACCCTGAGATAGCTAAGATAATCGAGGAAAATCTCGAAGGCAAGCTGGAAGACTGCACGGATGTTATAGTTGAAGATATTAACAACTATTGGAGGCAGTGTGGAGCCATATTGGAAGAAGTGGCAACTGAAGTTATCGGAAAGCAAAAACGTAAAGAATTCAGGACAGACTGATACGATGAGGAATGCGTACAAGCAACGCAAAGAAAAAATCAGGCATATAGAAGACTCCAAGGGCGAAGAACGAGACAAACAGACGATATAGGCAGCTGAGACGAGAAGAAAAACAAATACTTAAAAAAAAGAAGCATATTCCAACTAAAAGGACTAGAGAACTATAAGGCACAAGCAGAAACATGAAAGTTCTACAAGAGGATTAACCAGAACAGGAAAGAATTCAAACCTAAATCATCAATCGTTAGAAATAGAACAGGGGAGATAATTGGTGATCAGGACCAGATACTGAAAAGATGGGCAGAAAACTTTGAGTAAAGGCTAAATGTAAGGGGTGAGACAGGGCTCCACGAATCAGAAAACCAACTCGAGGACATTGACGATGTATGAGAGAAAGATAACATCTCAACAGAGGTAGAAGTTATACAAGCTATACAGAAATTGATAGACGGTCGATACATAATCTATCAGTCACTACGCAAGTAATGTATTCTAGATAAGCCAAGTGCCAATTTAATATATGAGAAATGCATCCATTCATATATCGATGATTAATATATTAGTCAATACACAAGTAATGTAGTCCCTGTCTTTGACGGTCACTAGATGGTGTTGGGTTTAAATTGTATTTTCAAGATAACGTTCCATTAGTAGACTCTTTCTACAGACCCAGTAGAAGACAGACCACTTCAGTGATTGGCAACCCTGCTCTACGCAAGCTACTGTTTGTCACCTACCGTCCATTTTCCAGGTGCAAATAGGCCCAGTCCTTCAAAATGCAATAACCAAAAGATAATAAAGTAAATACGCCCAGAATCTCACACTGATAACATATCAGTCTTTCTTACGGATTCTGGACGAGACAACTCGTGACATACAAATCAATACAGAAACGAAAATTCTCTCAAAAATTCAATATTGCTTCATACAACGTTAGGAGCCTATCGAGAGAGGAGAAATTACTAGAACTCCAAGAAGTATTAGAAAAATTTAATTGAGACATTCTCGGAAGTAGCGATATCAGACAACACGGTGAGGAATGGACTGAGAATGGAATGAGAAAGGATTACTCTTAAGTCAGAACATATTCTGTATCATACATATGGTGTAGGTGTGTTGATAATAAAAAACAGGCTCTAGATATAAGCACTGCAAGCATTTCCAAGCGTGTGCCTATATAGTTTCTGACTTCCAAATGGACCGATTACTTTCTCAACTTTATCTAGTCGTTCTGATACTTTGGCGTTAAAGTTCTTATGAGGAAAGTTATACTTCATCCAGTAACTGCAAGGGCGGTGTTGACATCCTCGTAAAATTGTCCTATTTCTTCTTCATCAGCTGCAGATGTGGGTGCACATTCTTGGATAAATTTCATTTTAAGTTTGGTGTTTAGGCGGAGTATTAAGTTCTAATTAACTTTCTCTCGCAACATAGACTATACCCAATGAATAGTTTTTTTCCAGAAAAAAAAAACATAGAATTAAATAATCCCCGGACGGTCAAACAAAATCGAAATAGACTTCAATAAATCCCATAAAAAGTTGTAACCAACGTAACAGTGTTAAATAATTGTACGGTAGGAAGTGGCCTCAGAATTGTTAGGAATAGTCTTGAAAAGAAAAAGTTCAAATATGGTCAACAGAACTCAACAGAATCTCGCCGAAAATACGAAAAATATTATCTTTATTTAATATTATATGAACAAAAATGTTAAATCAGAACGACAGAAACTCTGAATAGCTAAAACAGCTGAACAAAAGAATATCTAAAGAAATCTATAAGAAAGTATAAGACAAGCTATAGAAGAGAAGGTGATACTGAGAAAGCTGTCAAAAGGAAAGCGAGATAATTTTAAACTAAAAGATAACCATTTTTCAATAAGGTTTCCAATTAACAAATCAGCAGGAAAACTGCTGAATCTAACAGAAAACTTCTATACTGAACTATATACAAATAGTCAATGAATACGGGGCAGTCAATTGCATCAGCGAAAAAGAATAATCAACCAGGGATGAGAGCTTAGTCCGGACATATCTCAAAAAGAAATCAGAAGCTCGTTAAGAGAAATGAAAAATAACAAAGCCCCAGGTAAAGATGGCGTAAAACTTGGAGGAGAAACACTATTACAGTCGATTAAAAACTCATTTAATCTATGTCTTAAAAATTGAATAATCCCATCTCAGTGGAACAACGCCGTAACAACACTTTCCATAAAAATGTGATGGAGCCTGAGAAATGTAGACCATTTAAGTCTAAAAGACCATTTTAAAAAACCCAGATCGTAGTAATTTCGAAAACCTGTTCTTTCGGGTCAAGGTAAAGATCCGGATCGTTTTTTGCGTTTTCGTTAAATGCTTTGAGTGTTTTCCCTGGTAAGTTTCGGTATCGATAGATAATTGTAGACGAATCGATACCCTCTCTAGACAAAGGAATAGTGGGTTTTTGAAGGTAAACGGGCTCCGAACTCCCCGCAGGCGAACTCAGTCAAATATAGTTTTTTGTATGCACACAGAATCAGTTACATTGATTACTTGAAAAAATGAAAACAACTGCAAAATTGTCATTCATTAAGAAAATACGCGCGTTCACACCTGCGTAGTTTTAACAACTAAAACTGAGGAATTGAAATCTGATACTCACTGGCTTTTCAAATCCAACGACGAGATCATCACCTAAACAGATAACTACTTTGCTGACCTCTCACATTCCTAGTTTTTGGACGACTTAAAAAGCTGGATAGCATTTAGAAAAATGTATTGGACTAAGAGATAATGTTGAAAAATAAAAAAAATAACTTTAATAATTTGATTTGCTACTTTTTTTTCTATGAGACTTATTGAACAACCCACCTATGATAAAAGGAGAATTCTATGGAGAAGAATTCACAATACTTTTCCATTTCTCTGGTAAAATGTGTCTGCGTATTCTCCCACTTTATAAAAGGTGTGGCCCAAGTGTGAGCATTCAGCATACCTAATGAAATTGGCAAATACTTCAATTACCAACGGGAAGGGTCTAGTTCTTAAAATCGTGTTTTTGTTTACATTGTCTTTGCTATGCGAGAAACAAACTTCATTTCGAGAAATTGACATGGCCGAACAAAGCTCATCTAAGATGGAGCAAAATCAAGTCCAAGTTAACTGTTTTTTTTTGGATTGTGAAGGTATTGTACAACATGATAACGGTCCAAACTCCGCCTTCGGTAAGTACGGGGTGAATTGAGTAGCTCAGTAAATGCCGATGCCGGTCCCAAGCCCGGATAAAGGAGGAGGGTTGAGGCGATGGGCTAGCAACTCGTCCCTTGTCAAAAGAAATTAATGCTAAAAATTTCGACCAAAAGCCTCGGAATACAAAGGATGGATCAACACAAAGACGACTAATGCAACGAAAAAGGAAAATGATATTGGCTACATGGAATGTACAAGGACTGAGAACCAAACAAGCAGAAGTATTCAAAGAATTAGCGGAAAGAAAAAAAAAAATATATATATATATATATATATATATATATATATATATATATATATGTGTGTGTTCTCACAGAAACCAAGAAAAAGGGAAAAGGAAATGAAGAGATAGGAGAATATATACATATCTACAGCGGAGTGAGTAAAGATAACAGAGCTAAGAGGGGAGTCTCTATTGCCATTCGAAAAAATCTTAAAAACAACATTAAATCGTGGACTGAAGTAAATGAACAACTACTAATACTGGAAATGAAAAAGAATGGGCACAATATCGTAATTGTCGGAGTATATGCCCCAAACGAAGATGCAAATCCAGAAAGTAAAGACGATTTCTACGACAATATGAATGAAATACTCTCTGAAGTTAAAGAAAACTGTGAAATCTTTATACTAGGAGATTTAAAACGGCAGAGTAGGGACAGAAGAAAATAGCAGAGTCGTAGGAAGATATGGAGAACAAATAACCAATGACAACGGAATGCGTCCTTAGAGATTTTTGTGAAATAATGTCTCTCAAAATTATGAATGGATTTTTTCAACATAGAGACATCCACAAATTTACATGGATACAACCTACTAGGAATCTGCGCTCGATAATCGACTTTGTAATCCAACGTCAAACTTCCCAGCTGAAAACAACTGACGTAAGGGTATACCGTGGATCAGAATGTGGATCCGACCATCATTTACTTATGGCCAATGTGATAGTTAACTATCGCAAAAAACAATAACTCAGGTACAGAATATAGAAAAGGGACAAAAAGTAACATCTAAATATAACCTAGAAAGCTTAAAAGAAGATTCAACAAAATTTCTTTACAAATTACGACTGGCCACAAAATTACAAAATGTGGATCGAGAAAATATAACAGCGGAAGAATTATACCAACAACTTAAAAAGTACATTCATGAGGCTGCAAGTGAAGCTTTGGGGTATAAAGACAAACATGAAACGAAAAATCAAGAATGGTGGTCGGAGAATATGCAAACGTTAGTAAACAAGAAGAAAACTGCTTATCAGAAATGGATGTCAACGAGAAAGGAGGAAGATCACAAGGTATATACGAAATTAAATCGAGATGTAAAAAGAGAAGTAGTGAAAAGTAAAAATGAGATGTGGGATCGAAGATGTGCAGAGGTGGATAGGTATATGGGTGGAACAAGAGTTGGGCAAGCGTGGAAGGTGATAAAGTCTCTCCGGAGGGAAGGAAAGGAAAAATCTAACTTAAAATTAATAGATCTGAAACAGTGGAAACAGCATTATGAGGTCTTATTGACAGAGGATAGACGTAAATTCCAAGATATCGAAATGGAAGAAATATCTGAACATACACAAATAATTGAGATAACAACCGGAGAGTTAAGCGATGCCCTCAAAAGATCGAAAAAACGGTAAAGCAGCAGGACCTGGAGACATCCCAATTGAGTTGGTAAAGTATGGACCAAAAATATTACACGAGATGATGGTTAAACTATTTAATAAATGCTTAAAAGGACAAAATATCCCTGATGATTGGATGATGAACGGTCCAAGAGATCAGTAAATCAATAAAAAAAATTATGTTGAAGTTCTAAAACGATTGCATGAGGCATAGAGAAAAAACAGACTCATTTTTTGACAAGCGGCGACTTGTTTCTTCATCGCGATAATGCATCAGCACATTTATCTATATTTGTGCAACAGTTTTTGGCAAAATACAAAGTAACACAACCTGCTGATTTTCGTACGGTCTCAACATACCAGTCTGCGACGATAGTACTGAAGGCCATTACAAAAATTGAATCTCGAAACTCCTTCAGTTATTTCAAGTACCGATGGGAATGTGTTATTAAATCAGATAGGGAAAAAATAAAGTACTGAGGAGTTATGAACGAAGGATGGATATTTTTAGCACGTACATCGTACATTTTTTTTAAATCAGTGACTGTTCACTTATATAACTGTAATTGTTTTAGATCTCTCCAGTTCTGTTTTTATTACTATTATTTGGGATGTTTTCTACTCCACGCATGTTTCAGGTTGAAAAAATGGTCTTGACTATCTTCCAAGCAGATAATACGAGGACAATCCGATATATTTTAGCTCGATATATATGACACAGCGATGCTTCAACTTCTTTAACCCATCTAAAAAATACTCAAGGTCTGCAAAGTAGGCCTCCGTGGCGACGACCTCTTCATTCGACTCAAATTTCTGACCGGCGAGTAACTTTGTAAGTTTGGAAACAAAAAGAAGTCGCACGGGGCTAATTTGGAGAATACGATGAATGGGGCAGCAGTTCGTAGCCCAATTTGGACGTGGCAACACCGAAGATGTGAGCCGATGCGTTGTCATGGTGTAAGAACAGGTTTTTCTTTGCCAAATAGTGCCATTTTTCCGCAATGAATCAGCCCAATAATTCGATATAGTAGAGTCATGTGACCGTTTTAACCCTTCTCCAGGTAGTCGATTTAGATCACACTTTGTGAATCTCAGGAAAAGCTGACCATCACCTTACCGGTCGATAGGAGAGTCATCGCCTTCTTCGGAACACGTTCGCCGGTTGAAGATCACTATTTCGACTATTCCTTGATCTTTGGTGTGTACCAGTGGATTAATTTTTCGTCGAAGGTAACGAAACGGCATAGAAACTTCTTCGGATTGTGCTTAAAGTGCGCCAAACACTGCTCTGAAGTGGTCTCACGGTTGCACCTGTGCGGAATAAACAAACTCCGCACATATTTCATCCAGAACATGACCCACGCGGTCTTTTGAGATGCCTATTGTCTCAGCTGTCACGCACCTTCAACTGGCGGTCTGCCAATACGAAATTGTAGATTCGTGTTACGCTATCCCCCGTAGTAGCTGTTTTTGGGGCACCTCGGCCAGGCACATAAAAAATCGACGTGCGACCACGTTGAGCCACGTTGAAACTAGTTAGACAAATTTTTGCCGTTCGCCATCGAAGAAAAAGGGTCATCGTACACAGCACCCAAGAGCTCTTTAATGTCGCTACGCGATTTCCCTTCCAAAATCAAGAATCGAATTACTTAACGATATTACTGTTTTTCCAATTTTTTAAAGCCGCGGACACGCCCACGTCCACACGCGGGCAAAACAACACTATCAGTCCAATTCTGCTGAAATTTACATGCATTTCTATGGAAATGTATTACACAATAGTAAATCACTCTTGCGATCAAGCGATGAGGTTAAGTACTTATCGGACTGCCCTCATATATATGGATCAATCATATGTACTGCTCTTACAAAATTTCATGAACCAGACTTACTCATTTGGTGACGTCAACGTACGAACGAAACTATAAAGTCCAACATTACTAAAACTTAATAAACCTTGGTGGGGATCGGATGTTGAAGTAAGTTTATTATTTTACAAAGCTTACATACGATCTATTTTGGATTACGGAAGTGTTTTATATGGATCAGCAAGTAATGTACTACTAAACAAAATCAACGTTTTACAGAACTCAGCCTTACGAATATGTTTAGGAGCCATGAGATCCACTCCAGTACAAGCTTTATATTTGGAAGCCTTGGAACTTCCTTTAAATATAAGACGAATATAAGTCCCTAGGCGAGAAGAGTGTGTCCCTGCACTCCTAATATCGATGTAATCTTCTATCTTGATAGGCATTTAGGTAAATAATTATAATGATGACTGTCTTCTTTTGTGTCTGGGCTGTGTGACGATAGTCTAAGCCAAAAAAAAACATTTAACTGTCTGCAGTGCGTTTTCATAGCAAGACAGAGTCAAACTGTTCTTCTAACACTCGTTTGTAATATTTTATATTGAATTTAGTATGAAATTAAAATAGTTAATATTTTTAGGATTTTTTTCAGGCATGCATATGTCGAAGGTTTATGAAGTTTTGAAACATTTCTAAGGTACAAAATTTTAAAATAATTATTAAATAACCCTGCAAGGAAGAGATAGTTGTTCAATAATTCAAACTGATGCCTTTTTCGCTGCTCTAAGACGTTACCAAAACAAACTAATATTATAACATTCACTATACAAACCTGTGATACCAAACTTGATACATCTCCAGTATTTGCTGGTAAAATCAAGGTATTATTCGTTCTAGCTAATTTATTAAATGCATGTACATATTGTTCAGCAATACTTAAGGAGGCAGCATTAGGACCTAAATCTTTCTGCAACGCTTCTGCAACTAGTTTTAAACCTCCGGACCGTGCTTCGGCAACTGCTAATATTGCTGCAGCTTCACCAGCAGCTTTATTAATTTGTTCCTGGCGTTCGGCTTCTGAAGCAAGAATGCGTGCTTTTCTTTTACCTTCTGCAACATTAATATCAGCTTCTCTTACTCCCTCTGATTCTAAAATGGCTGCTCTCTTTTTTCTCTCAGCCTCTACCTAAAACAAAATATATTTAAAACGTATTACATTAAATATACAATTTTAGTTTCCATAAAAATACACTTGATAAAAATTCTACAAAAACATTTAAAAAATCAGTTTTAACACATCAGCAGATGAAAATGATTTTAAATAATTTAAACATTAAGTAACTCCTTGTTTTACTAATAATGCCCTGTCCCCTGTATACTTGTTGAACTAAGGAAATTAATTGAAGAATCCAATTCTGACCAAGAACCGTATAAATCGCCTCTGTATGAAATTTATGTTTCACAAACCGGTTCTAATATCGAAGAGTCAGATATTCTTCTTATTCTTAGGGTGCCTGTCCGTTCCGAACGTTGGTGATTATCTGGCTATGATGACTTTGTTGGTTGCAATACAGAGTAGCTGTGTTGAGGTCGTTCTATACCATGCTCTCAGGTTAGCAAGCCAGGATGTTCTTCTTCCTCCTGGGGCCCTTTTTCAATTAATTTTACATTGCAAAATGTATTGCAGTTGCTCGTATCTGCCTTGATTTCTCATTATATGTCCCAAGTACTGCAGCTTACGGTCCTTCACGATGTTGACCAAATCCGCGGTTGTGTTCATCCTCCGCAGTACTTCTTCACTGGTGACTTTGTCTGTTCATGGTATCTTCAGAATCCTTTTGTATAACCATAGCTCAAAAGCCTCAAGAAGCTCAAAAGTTTTGATAGAGTTTCTGCCTTCAATGTAAATGTTTCTACTCCGTACAGAATCACTGAGTACACATAACATTCAAGGAGCCTTATTTTTGTTTCTAGGGTGAGGTCATGGCTCTTGAACACAGAGCTCATAGTCAAGAATGCACTTTTTGCCTTTCCGATGCGACATTTAATCTCTTGGGTATTGTCCTACGACTCATTGAATATAGTTCCCAAGTAGTTGTATTGTGAGACACGTTCAATTCTCATTTGGTTCACATACAGCTGACGATTATTAGCTTGATTTTGCTGGTGTTTGTCCATATGTTCTACTTATTTCCGATATTTTGTTCATTAGGTTTTGCAGCCCTTCTATGGTATTGAAAAATAAATTATTATAGAGCAGCTATGAGCAGACATCATCTGGACTTCTAAGGATAGAACTGAGTGGCGTAGTGGTACACTTTGGAATGCACAAACAAGGTCACAAATATCACATACGCAGATACAAGGAAACTTTAGAAGAGATGTGGAACATTGACGCCCTACCACTTATATGTGCTGCAATGTCCTATGACTACTTCAAGGTTATACTAAGGTTTATTAGACTTGACAATGAACATAACGAACAGCACTTCTACAGGTACTAACGGTCAAAGAAATTACAAAATCGCACAATAGATAACTCCTAAGTCTAAACTTGCGATCAAGGTATTCTAGACTTGTGATGTCAAATTCTCGTCAAATGTCACAACTGATAATGTGTTTAAATGTTTCGATCTAAGACATTAAACTCATTGGACATAACTTTAGTAGGAACTGCGAGAAAAAAGGTTTCTACTCATAAATATGCAACCAAATAGGGACGGACCTGTTTACAAACCAATTTTCTATTGGCTGTATATATTAGCTGTAGTTGACTATTCCTTAGTCAACTACAGCTGATGAGAAGATTAAATGTCAAAAATAATCTATTTAAAAGGTCTGTCTTACACTCAGTTCTCGCAAATTTCCGTGCAAAATCCACCCGATATTTGCGAAAATGCTTATTACGTGTTTCAGCAGACTCCTCAGACAATTGCCCTGTTCAATCACTTGCATCCACGCATCAGAATGTTGTGAACTGTAGGCTACACTGGATGCAACCCGTACAATTTGACCTATAGTTTGCCAGTAGTCTTGGACATAATTTTCAAACTTTTGGTAATCAATCTCACGATCACTTGATATTACCTCAAGAATTACTTTAAATCCATTACAGTCCATCTAATTTACTTACCGTTGCACGTCATTATCATTGACAGAGATCAAAGTTGACATAGTTGCCAAAGTATAAAAAAATCCTGAATCCATTTTAAATCAAATATGTCACATAATTATTGCAAAAATGGATTATACAACAAAACAAATTAATATTTAATGTAAATAAATAGAAATAAAACAAGAGTTAAAAAATAATCTTGTTAAAAACAATTTGAGCACCTTGTTTAAAAAACAACATAGTTTAATTAACAGTAAATAATAAAAACAAAACTAAAGTGTCAACACCGCAACTGTCACATAAGTGTTATCAATTTATGCCAAAATATCACCTTCGTTTGATTACAGTTACAGTGTGTTCCAAATAAATGTTCTTCATAAAAACGCTTTATAATGCATTTATACAAATTAAATGAAACATGTCTAGTGGCTGTAATGCCAGTGTTTTAGGCAAAGTGATTCTAAAAAAGAACACACCTGCCATCTAAATATTTCGTGTTGGTATCATGTGACCTCACAAGCTATGACGCGGATGACATGCAACGGTAAGTAAATTAGATGAAGTATAAGTAATTGCCTGTTAATGCCTGTGATGCAAAAAGAGCATTCTATGTTTTTAAAAAATCTCCTAGACATATTCCAATATATATATATATATATATATATATATATATATATATATATATATATATATATATATATATATATATATATATAGCCAGCTTTAGGATCGTCAAGAAGTAGACCCATTGAGCTCTAAAACATTTCTGCATCTTCTCTTTTGTTTCTTTTAATAATCTTTTTGTCTTGGTGTACGGGTTTGTCACTTTTTATGGGTTCTTTATAGGCTAAATACAATAATAATTTGAAAAAGCATATTCGGCATGGATCACTGAGTGCCCAAACTTTGGAGTTTCTTTTTTTAAGGAACTTTTTTCTAATTTATTAAAGACTTTTGATGTCCGACTGCATATCATTGCATAGTTGATGCAGTATCAGTAGCGTAGTTACCTTTCTGTCTACCATTCTCAGCAAAACATTGTGACTGATTTTCACTGATGTTTCACTGTTTTTAGTTTCTTTGGTTTGATTTTCGATGTATTATATTTCTTCCTTAGTAACATCTAATCAAGCTATAATAGGTCTGCAAAATCTCACCAAAAGATGAGCAGGGTTCTGCCAAATGATTTTATTGTTTCACCATGAATAGAAACAACCAACCTCACCGGAACAATCCCCATTTTGATATCAAAAGAAGATGCTTCTTTTCAGTGTCAGTTAACATATCTAAGACTTCTTTTAAATATTGGGTGAAGCGCAAAACTTTATGATCCAGCAAAGCTTGAAGTTCAACATTAAAACTGGTTTCTGTAACATGTTATTGTGCCATCATCTGAATAGCACTCTTTTTTGCCTTTTGCAGCAAAGAGTAACAAGGGTAGATGTATTTGCCCCGGCTTGTAATAAAGTACACTGGCTTTTTGTGAAGTTACCTTCCATAAAGATCGATAACACTTCCTGTGGTGTATATTTCATTTCCACATGGTCTTTTTTTATACAAAATAATCCTTCTAACCTTTTTGGCTTTCATCAGCGTTGAAATTATTTCTATAATCATCTTTGAATTTTTGTTTTTTTTTAATTTCTATTTATTCTCAGAAGTCCTGACTTAGGTATGCAGCGAAAGTCAACTCCTTGACAGGTACATGAGCCCTTAATTCTTCAGTTCTCTGCTGCTTGCTCCTTTCACTTAATTCTTGTTACTGTTAAACTGAGCGACTGGGCTTGAGCAATGATCACAAAGGAACCTCTAATGATGTTTTAAGCAATTCTTCATTATTTTTCAAAAATTGTTCATCAGTGTTACTAGCTGCCAATCATTTCTGCTTAAAACTTATCTTAAAATACCTCAAAGAACAAGTCAAACCATTTCTATCATCCGTTGGGCATGACATCATCTGAGCAAGTCTATCTTGTAATAAGGAAACTTTTTCCTTAATTTTCTTTTCTTCAAATCACTTTAGTATATCACATAGTTCCCATCAGGTGATAGTTTTCACATTTTCTGGAGTAACTATGAAAAAAGTTTTAGTGTGACAAAGTCTGACACAAACAAAAGCACTAATGTTTAAAATTTTAGTAAAAATACCACATTCTTTAAAATAAATTGGAACACATCAGTTTAAATGCTGAACTTCCATATTTAATAAGAAATTTTATAGTAATACACCTCATGACAACATATTAACACAGAAATATGTAAAATAATTGAAAGCGCCAACAACAAAAGACATTTTTTTGTCTTTAGGATTAATCCATGTGTTACACACAATTGGTGGGTTTTGACTGATTCCGAGACAAGAGCGCTAATAGCAAGAGTGTGCCGTGTATGAACCAGTTTTTTAACTTTATGAAACATTCATTGCTTATGCTTGTGCCATTTAATAATCAGCTAGAACATAGAAGCAGGGGAGAGTGACAAATGATTGTATAAGAAATTTCCTGAGAACAAAACAAACAGTAACAGAATTTATCAAAACAAAATAGTGTGTAATCTAGCCACTTGATGTGCATGGCTGAGGATGACGACCAAACCCAATTCTAAAATGGAAACTTCTAGAATGCAAAAGAGGGAAATACCTAGACACAGTTGGTGAGAGACTATTAACAAAGAGATATATGAAAGGAATCTTAAGAAAGACTTGAGATTTAAAGCTTCTTGTTGAAAACATATTAAGATTTATTTCTGTTTTAATTAAAAATTATACCTGTGCCACCAGACTGTTTGCCTAAAGGTAAATATTATTAATAAACAGTTTACTCACCTGCATTTGCATAGCTTCTTGGACTCTAGGAGGAAGTTTAATATCTCTAATTTCGTACCTAAGACATGTCATACCCCATGCTTCACTGGCTTTATTTATTGAATCAACAATTGATACATTCAGATTTTCTCTTTCCCTAAAAACTTTATCCAGTAATATTTTTCCTAATTCTGATCTCATAGTAGTTTGTGCAAGTTGTGTTATGGCAAATTCAGGATCTTCAACACCATAACTTGCTAAATATGGATCAATAATTCTAAGATACAAAACACCATCAATACTCAATGTGACATTATCAGATGTTATTGCACTCTGCTTTGGAATATCTACGGCGATTTCTTTTAAACTTTGCACATATTTTACCCTGTCTACAATGGGAATTAATACATTTAATCCAGGTTCAAGTATCCTGTGAAATTTACCCATTCTTTCTACAACCCAAGCCTAAAACAGTTTAATGTATTAATATATGCACATAACAAACACTCAAAACTAAAAATAGTATAGACAGTACAAGACAGTAATACTAATAGTATTAGAAATTAAAAGAGTATAAAATATAAGAGTGTCTACTCTTTTGTACTATTGTCTAAGTGATAGATCTAACCCAGTAGATTTTGGGAACTTTAAATTTCTCCAAAATATTTACAACTTTTTCTATAGATCCTAACATTTATAATTTTATATATGTATTTCATTTTATTTTTGGTTCACAATTTCCTTGCTTCTTATTTCATCTTTTATTCACGAGGAACCACAAAGTGGGCGATGCCTGGTGGTAGATTTCAAAAGCATCCACTTCAGGAAAACCTTGAAATTGTCCTTATTTTGTATACATATTAGCAACCGGTTTATATTGTAATTAACAATGACTTCGACTTCAAAAAACTATTGCAGTGTTCCCCAATGTTCATCCTATTATAATTCACAAAAAAAAATCCCATACATAAGTTTCCGCTGGGCGAGAATATGAGAAAAGTTTGGCAATGCATTTTGCGAATTGGCAAACCTATAACCAAGTACATGACTGTGCAGTTTACATTTTACGGAGAATGATTACTTTCCAAGTGTCGATTAAAATATTATTTATATTTTAATATATTTATACTTAATTTACTTTATAGTAACACCTGAAACTAAATTGAGAAGACTAAAGAAAAATGCTGTTGATTAAGTGATTTATATTAAATGTTTTATAGCTTAGAGATCAAATGACAAAATGATTTGTTTCCCTAAGTTATCGTCCATCTTTGAAATCTTCAGCTCCCCCTGCCAGAATGGGCTATCACAAATTGTTTTATTTATTATCCCTCCTAGTAACTCATACATATTATATTTGATAGTAATAAAAGGTAATTTTAGTTAAAAATGTTATATCTGATATTTCAAGTTCCACCTAGGGTATCATTTTTAAAATACAAATTAAAATAATAATAGAAATAGAAATAAACATACTGTATGACAAAATAAGACATAAAAAATCTAGTGAGAGAAGATATCCAATCCTTAAGGGAGGAATATGTTTTTCTTGGTCAGAAAATATCTGAGAGCTGTTGTTTTTAACAATTTACACACTGAAAACCATTATGAAATATTATGTCAGCCAATAAAAAGCTTAAACCTTTAATCTTGTATTTTTTGTCATAAGTGGTAATTATCACCCATATAGAAGTACAAATCCCGATTTTCATGAAAAGCTATGTTATACTCTCAAAAAAGATTGCTAGTTAATAGGATTTTTTTTTCTCTAGAACACTAACCTAAGATATTATTGACTGTTGAAAACGGAACACAATGTCACTAGTAGTTACCCAAAGTGTTAAATTATGTATGCTAAGAGTCTAATGTTAATTTAGAGAATTCATTGTCAAAGAAAAAACTTATATTAGTTGTTTTGATAGGCTTTGATATCTTATTGTAAAATATCAAAATGAATACCTTGGAGTCAAATATAAACATACTTACTTCTTGTTGTGGTACAAACATAACTACGGTATTAATTGGTGTATAGGACTTATGCCTTGCAGCTATATTTCGAGTAATATTATTAACATTTGTAAATAATTTTTGCTGAAACAAATTTTGTTAAAAAAGAAAAAATAAATATGTAGATGACTATTTACTTGTACAACAACTTTATATAAACCTCTGGAAGTTGAAATCATTGCATATAACTAACATATACGAAAAACACAGCCTCTACCTAAATTTGAATTTCTTCCTGGTTGATTGAAACATAACCTATAAAATCATCATTTTTCTACTTCTTTTTTTACAAACATGAGGGACTTTTATTATAAGCAACTAGGACAAAAAAAAGGATAAAAAATTTGAAAATGTCATTATTTCTAATCATAATAAAATCGTCAACACAAATATCGATTTTATCAAAAAAAGATATTAAATTTTTATCGTCGAGTTGATACAAATTTCATTTAAAAAATTTAAATAGGTAAAAGAAATAGTAAATAGGACTTATAATACAATCAATTTAATTGAACTATCTAGACGACCGGTTTCGCTTTCTAGAATATGCAAAGCATCTTCAGGTCTCGATAAAAAGTTAATTAAATGATACCGGTACTCTATTAATTAATGGTTGGAAGAACATGGGTCAAACTATCCTGTATTGTTGAATGGATAACTTAAGTTTTGGTATTGTATTTGTTTGACAATAAACAGGGAAGTTTTTGAGGAGATAGATTTTATCCAATGAAGTAGATATAGGTGTAATGTAATTGTTTGTTAGATGAGAGTGATGTTCTATATTATTGAATTATTTAAAAGTTATTTATATTTATTCAAGAGATATATTTATTGTTGTTGTTTGTTTGTGTTTAAATGACTGCGGACACTAAATCCATTCGCCAATCTTACAATTTGAGGTGTAGTGTGTGTGTGTGTGTGTGTGTGTGTGTGTGTGTGTGTGTGTGTGTGTGTGTGTGTGTGTGTGTGTGTGTGTGTGTGTGTGTGTGTGTGTGTGTGTGTGTGTGTGTGTGTGTGTGTGTGTAGAGTAATTGTCTTGATACTTAGCAAAGTCGACGTCATTGTCTTTGCTAAGAGACGCTAATTGTATCCGAACGTCTGCGGTCCCTCCGGTGTGTACCGATCACACAAGGATAGAAATTATTTTCATTTATTAATTTTTTTAATAAACGAAAATTTCCACCCAGGTGGGATTCGAACTCACGACCTTTAGGTTTAAAGGCAGGCGCTCTTACCACTGAGCCACAGAGGGGGTATGAGATATATTTATGAAATGTGTGTTATTTATTGAGATTTTATGAAAGTGACAGTTGTATGTGACAATGAAACATTGTCTCCAAGTCAGAGATGTGGTGCATTTAAGTCCTCCCTTTTTAAATTTAATGTTTATTTCGTCCCCCCTTTTTAACTCATTTTTAAGTGTTTTCTGTGTGTCCAGAATTGTCCTTAATTGTTTTTAATTTTAATAATTTTATATACTGGACTTTACAATCATTTGCCATAAGTAAGTCAATAGAACTTTATCAAAGAAATTTGATAATTACAAGTTGAAAGAATTGCACACTCACACAATTTGTACATCTATATAATTTCATTCATTGTCATACAACTGTCACCTTCATAAAATCTCAATAAAACACACACATTTTATAAATATATCTCTTGAATAAATATAAATAACTTTTAAATAATTCAATAATAGAGAACATATCACTCTCATCTAACAAACAATCACAAATCTATCTCCTCAAGAACTTCCCTGTTTATTGTCAAACAATTACTTAAGCAAAACTTAAGTTCTCCATTCAACAATACAGGATAGTTTGAACCATGTTCTTTCAACCATTAATTAATAGAGTACCGGCATCATTTAATTAACTTTGTATCGAGACCTGAAAATGCTTTGCATATTGTAGAAAGCGAAACCGGTCATCTAGATAGTTAAATTTAATTGATTTTAAGTCTTCTTTATTATTTATTTTACCTATTTAAAATGGACTCACACAAGCAACACATTCATGATTTTAAAAAAATTATTTCGCACGCCTAAGAGATTTAAAACCACCGGTCGCTTTAAGCGTTGTATCTGAGAGAACGGTTCATTCTACATATAAAGTTCTAAACAACATTTTTGTTTAAAATTATCTCAGCTATACTTCTTGTTTGAAAACATTTTTCCTACGGCGTATATATTCTTGGAAACCCCGGGGTAGGAGTGGCAAGAGACATCCGCCCCTGGATGTCTCTTTTTAGCTTAGCATGAATGCCATGAATATGTAAGGTAGCGCCTCCGAATATCAGATACCTTTTATGTAAAGGCTGAAAAGAATTCTGACGAATAAACCCTTATTACAACAAATTAATATTTTAATAATTGATTATTAACAATTAATCTAACTGCTTCTCTAGCTGCTTCTTAAGCACCATAAAATTGATGAAATAATCAACAGTATAATTAAAATCGATTCCCATTTATAAGAAATATCCTAATATAAGATACATAAGTAGCCTAATTTGAGATATCTTTAGAACTCATTTATAAGATTATTAATTTGTATTAGAACTCGAATGGATTTCTTCTTGGCTGGATACGATTTATTGGCACTTTCTGTAGTAGAATTGAATTTTCTATAGAAAGTCGTCTATAAACGCTGAATGCCGTCGCATTTCCAGTCGTTACACCAATTTTGTATCTCAGTAGGCGGCTTAAATAAACTTTGTCTTTGAGTCTTTGTTTTATTGTATCCAGGTATTGTTAAGTTGTTATGTTTTCTGGTGTTGATCATGTTGTGAATAGTAGAGGAGAGAAAATGCTGTTTTTTGCGCCTTCTCTGAATCTTTTGAGGTGGTTTCTCACAAGGAGAAAAAAGTGCTCTTATTCTTATTCCAATCGTCCGCTCTCTGGACAAAGACGGTTGGTAGAGTAAGAAGATCACGTATGCTGATGAATGGTTGGTTTGCTTTGATTGAGAGATCAGCTTTTCCGCTTTTAGAATCATTGGACACTACGTATCATCTGCTCCTTCCAACGTTGGTTGCTTAAATTGACGACATTAACAAAAACATAAATAAAATCCTTCTCGAAACCAGATTACAGGTCGCAAAGAAAACAAAAACTACAGAAGACAAAGTAAGCAACGACACTAAACAAGTAATAAAGGAAATAAGACAACTACTAGAGGAAAACAAACGCCATACTCAAACACACGTAGAACTTAATAAACCAATTAAAAGAAAACTAAAACGCGACACAAAAAAATGGAACGAGAACCTAATAGGGCAAGTTATTAGAAACAACAGAGGCCTAAAATGTCTAAGACCAACACTGAGTATCCAAAAAATCATAAAAATTAAAGACATCAATATTGAGGAAGAGGACAAATATAAAATAACAAATATACTCGAAGACTTCTACAAAACCTTGTATATACAGCTCGCAAAGCCAGCCTAATGAATCAGTAATGAGAACGTTATAAAAAATAAAAAGCATGGGGTCAGAGGTTATAAACAATTATATTCCCTCTATATAAGCCAAATATAGAGGGATTCGATATAGAAAGAGCTTTAAAAGAGCTAAAAAATAATAAAGCTCCAGGACACGATGGTATAATTACCAAGCTCTTAAAAACAAGCAAGTACAGTAGTAATCCTTATACTAGCTATTTAATATAGATGTCTCTATGATATCAAAATCCCTGGAACGAGAGTACTCTTGTACAAAAAAGGTGATAAATGTGACCCAAAGAATTATAGACTTATATCGTTGCTCAGTCAAGTATACAAAATGTTTATGAGAATTATTCAAATTGGTTGATACGTCCATGGTTGACCTCCTAAATGGATAATGCACGCGGGACGTGAATTTTGTCTGATTTTGTCTCACGGGATGGGACGAAACGGCGATTTTTGCTGTGGGACGGGACATGGGGCAGGGCGGGTGCTTTGTCCCGCATATCCCGCAAAAATTGAATTTTTTATTATATTAAGTATTTTCATGGGTATGCATTTTATACCTATTAATTATTAACCTTAATTTATTATTACCTTTTTATCAGTACTATTTACTTTGAACTATACTCTAAGTCAAGTCTTATACAATAGGATACTTCAAAATAAGTTCTAAATACGCCTTGTATACATTGTATTATGTAATTATTGGTTGCCTATCTTTAGGATTCAAATTGTAGAAAAATATCTCTATTGTAACAAAATGTTAGGCAGTATGGGTTAGATCAATAATGTATAATTATTATTTTATAGTACAATGAGTCCGTATTTTTATATGTTAATGTTTCTCTCAGCTTATTTCTTGTTTATAATTTATGTTGGTTATACTTGTTGATATGAAAGGAACTTGTCAACTGACTTAAATGAGTAACGACATACAGCGGAAGAAGGCATCAAGTAAACTTCTATCAAATTTTTAGTCACATATTTTCTTTTTGTTTTGACTTGTGCCGTACATAGTTTTCAAAGAATTAATATTTTAATTTGAATTCGTTATATTGTAAAATCTTTGGAGTAAAAAGTTTACATAATTAACCAAATTCGGTCTCCTAAAATTAAAATTTCCCGCTTCCTGAACGCATATCGATTCCGGTTGTGCCTTTCATTTTTGATCACCACGGCGCAGCGGAGCACCAGTCTCTTTTCTGAGAGTGTGCTTATTCTGTTGTGAAGTGTGCTTCTTCAAAAAAAGTATACACGTAAGTTTAGTGTTTTTTATAGTTGAAAAAGTAATAATATATTCAGAAATCGATAACAGAATGCAAGTTTCTTCCAAAAATTACAAAAACATTGTACTTTAAAGAATTTTTATTTCATAATGAAGACCTTGTAAATGTTGAGATTCCACCTTGAGTTTTTATTTGAATAAAATATCTAAAATATTTTTATGATGATAAATGAAAATAAGAGTTAATTGAAAGAAAGTCATTTTCTTTAAAAAACTTTTGCAAAATTGAATACGTAGATATGTCGATGACCTGCTTTCGTGTTCTTTTGTGCCGTTATTCGCCACATACCTATCATGCTTTTAATTTCTCCCTTGCACAAATCTGACTCATTCTTGGAAATTTTACACGTCATATTCACTTTTAGTGGACAGATTTACCAATTAATACTTTTACCAGATAATTAATTTTATTTTCTATAGCATTTAAGTGAAAATTAGTATCATATTTCAGAATCATTTTAAGTGGTTAAAATTCTTCATTGCTATTGTTTTTAACATTTAACGATTTATTTGCATTAGTCACTCTTCAATAAAGAAGTATTTATGAGAAGTTATTTATGTATTTGCGCAAAACAATATAATTTCAAGTTAATTAGTGTGTAGCCTTGTTATTTTGTTACTATTTTTAACAAGAACTATGATTTCAATGATATTTAGCAATTGTAAGAATGTATTATTGTTTTTACTTTTCATTATAAATGTATTAACAAAGTAATCTGTATCATTAATGAAAAAATAAGCCTGCAGAATACCTCTGGAGAGTTATGTTGAATAACCCAGGAACCTCAAAATTCATAATCATCATGGTGCTATAAATTTGGTATTTATAAAAATGGCAAATCTAGATAAAGAACATCTAATAAATTAATTACTGATGTAAATAACTAATTTCCAAAAAGTAGAATATAATTAAAGAATACTCATGAATGGGTGAAATAATAATGTGGCAATATTGAAATTAGTGTAGTCTGGAAGGAGTCAATAACTTACCTTTTTGGTGCTTTGTTTTTAATGTGTTCTAGGTGTAGAAACATAGAAGATTGATTGCTACATATTTACTGTTCTGAGGATGTAGATTTATATGTAGAGACTTGTGAGTATCATGGATCAACAGCATTCAAATGAATAAGTGCTAGAAAATATTACAAGATGAGAATTTAATCTATCAAATGAGATGTATTGCTTCTATTTCCTGGCAATTTTCCTGATGAATTTCTCAAAGATTATACTGGCTCATTTTTTCTTTTTCTAAGGATATTTTGTAGCTTCAGATTAGGACAATCTTCTTCTTATTTTAGTATTATCAAGCATTGTATCTTGGGATGTCTATTGTATGAAATTTAAGAGCAGGTATATAGATGTTTCATTATCTAAGGGCATAGTCTGTTTTTATTTCTGTGAATAAGGTCAGTAAATATTGTAGACTGTAGATTCCAAGATTTCCAGTATATGGGGTTGTTTTATATACCATTTACCCTTTTTTTCATTTACCAGATCGCCTTACAATTCCATATAAAGATTCAGCTTGCATGAATGGAGTTTTGCTGTATTATCTGTGATTTATCATGTTAAGATCTAGGTTACAGATAAGAATTATACTTATTTTTGGTTCATTTTGTTTTTTTTCTGCATTCCCAATCCAATTTGAAAACAATATATTTGGTGACAATACTGTATTTTTTATTATGGCATCAAAATCCCTAATGCAAGCCATAGTTCAGTTCATAGACAGAGCTCAGAAGTTTGAAGGGAAGTTTACAATAGTAAATTACAAGTTAAAAATTTTAAGTAACTATTGTATTTAAACATTTTATATAGAATTAAGCCACAATTAGGATTGTAACTAACTACTGTTTGACATTTCTATTTCCACTCCAGAAATCATTTTCAAAAAAAAAATATTTTAAAAATTCTTCGAAAATGTACAACCAAGAAGTTTTTGTTAGAAGGTTATGTCTTTCGACTGTTTTATTAAGGATTCCTCTGGGGTATGATGGATTTTTTATTGGGTTAAACAATTTACCACTCTTTTTATTTGACTGATTCTAAGATTAGTTTTTTTTTATATTATACTAATAATTTGGATAAAAAAAGTATGATTGTAATACTTCATTGAAGTGTCATCTACTTGCTGATGTACAGATTCAAGTGGGTAATACTTAATGTAATGTTTTATGATATTAATTGCTTGAGTGATCATTCATTAAATAGTATATTAATAATGGATATATGACTAGTAAGCTCAGTATGTAAAAAACAGTGAAATAACAGTAATAAAAACAAGAACCATCAGGCAGAACAAAAACGAGAAAAGTAACAATGAGTACATTCTACAAAAATTACTCATTTTGTTCTAATTATATCCCTTGTTTCTACATTTTTTCTTTGGAAGCTGTTTGTTCTACACTGGCACTTCAAAGTCCTCTTCCATTAACTATTATACGATTCCTGAGAATTCCAGTAGATCTCCTATATATAACCTCTCTGCTTCTGATGGACCTTTTATTTTGCCCTGGTATACTCAAGGCTCTTGTATTAAAGCAACATCTTATCCTCATGTAGCTAACATAAGTTTTGTGGAAGCTGCCTCAAGAGTGGTGAAGATTCTCCTGCAGGAACTTAATTGAGGTCATTAACACCTACTAGTGACAGATACAGTCTATGACTGTATCTGTCACCTTTTTGTCTTTGTGAAAAGTAACTAATTTCTCATTCATCTTTTTTTGTCTCATGTTCATTTTATTCCCACGGTTTAGGACAAACTGATGTCAGGTATGGCAGTGTTCCCATACCATGCCATAATCACATATATAATCGCTCTGAGTTCATCAGTTCTCTGGAGTATCACTTAGTCAGTAATCTTCCCTTGGTACTATCAAGTTCATGGGACAATGAAGTTACACCTCAGGATTGCAGTGCAATTTGTCACAACACAAATTTCACATGATGAGTCACTTGTGGTGCAGGTGTGTCTAGTGATTTTTTGTTGTGTTTTTAGATGTGTGAGTGTGTGTCATGTTAAATAAACAAATCTACATTAAGGTTCTCAACTTCTCAGTTTATTTGGTTAACATATTCACTTTCCTCAGTCATGCATTGAGGAAAGGCTCTTTCTCAGACCACTAAAGTTGTTTTCACGTTGCTTTGGGAGATTTTTGGAGCAAAGTTATTTAACAATTCAATTATAATCATTAACTTACACCTACTTTCAAAACCTATACACTGGGGGTCAGAATTTCACTTTATTCTGTTCATTCATGTTGCCATAACTTTATTGTATGTTTCTTCATATTCTTCCACTACTTTGTAATATCAATTCTAGATTTCCTAAAATTATCACTAGGGAAAAATTTTTAGCAAAGTAGTATTAACTTAATTGTTAACACAACATTCTAGATATGATGTTCGTGTATTACCAAATTTTACTCTTTCTTCAAGAGTCTATTCCAGGCTTTACTAGCCCATGGTTGACCAACAGTAGTTCAAAGTACCACACATTTTGAATGCTTACATATGGCATTTATGTAATTGCTTTTGCTTCTGCCTGACAGTATACTGTAGTCCTATGTATTATCACTGTCTTAGAAATCATGCATGTTCGATAGTAACAGTTAAGTTTGCATTTATTCTGATACATTGTGAAATGCAAAAAGTTAGCTTAGTTACCACCTAGTGCTAATGTTGGTGTCAATAATAATACACTGATTTTGATTCACTATTTCCAAATACATTAGAAAATAAATTGATTAGAAATAGAAATAATGAAAAGAAAAAAAGTTATTTGATTCTCTCCAGACATTTCAAGTGAACCAGTCAACATCGCTCCTACATCAGTAAATGCAAGCACTTCAAGAAAAATATTTGGAAAAGTTGCAAACCAGGCTCAATCATAGTCTTCACAGCAAGACAGTGAAGACATCACAAGAAGAAAGCTACGATCATCAGAAATTTAAATAGGTGAGAGTGCTGATAATAAATTTGGAAAGCATCCTGCTCATAGATGGAAAAATTTTAAACAAAATTATTAATGATGTTATTGAATTTTTTGATTGATCTGAAACACCAACCAGTGTGTTTGTAAAATTTAGAGATCCATCATTAACCACATCACCTACAGACTAGGAGTTACAGAAAAAGTTACTTTACTTGATTGGTATCAATTTCTTCATGACCTATCATCTGTCCAACAGAATTGAACAAATCGATAAGAAAGATAAAGTTAACAGATGGCAGGATCATTTTGAAAAGCTACTCAAGAAGGAACTGGATGGAAATGATGAGTATAAAATAGAAAAGGTAGATGACTAAAATATAACAGTGGAAGATTTACTAAAGAGGCATTCCAGGCTGATAAAGAAATAAAACGAGTCATAGAAAATATAAAGAATAACAATTACCTATATTCCAGGTGAATTAGTAACAGGGGAAATAATAGAAAGACAAATCAAAACAAATAATTTAAATATAGCCAGAAAAATCCAGAAGAAATCAAGATCGATCAAACAAAAAGGATTTCGTAATTTAGAAACTGTATCCTAAGAATGATAGAGGAAAGATTGGCAAAAAGTGTGTTGTTGAGAAATAACGGAAGACAAGGGTGATTATGAAATAAATAGAGGCACATAAAAATATGTTATTAAGAGCAGTTGTTGAAAATTGAATAACTGCGATAGACACAAAAAAAGGGAAAGGGGAGGAAAAATACAAAAAAAATTAAACAAATTTTTAGTGAAAATTACTCTTGAAAACCCTGTATAATATTGCTTTGATGTCATTTTGTTGTAAAATGACCAGAACTTTTGAACTTAAACTTATTAACCACCTCCCACATTTAGAAGAAAAAAAAAAAAAAAAAAAAAATTGCGTCCTCTCAAAAATTTTATTAATTATTGAATGGAGACGTTGAAAAAGAAGTAAGAGATCAACTACAAAAAGCAAATAGATTGGCAGGATGCCTTAATAAAACTATAT